CAATGGAATCTCCTTGTTTTAAATTTGGGGGTTGAACAGAGAGAGCCTGGTTTTGGCTGCTGCCCAAACAGCTCATTGTGCAACTCAGTTGAAGGAGACTGCTCACATACAAAGAGCTTATTCTTGGCTTAGCTAGAATATAATTTTTCCACTAAAATGACCAACCTAGGGACTTAGTTAGTGAATAAAAGTGATTCGTGGTTCTCCACAACTGGGATTATTAACTGTGTCAGTTAGGAGCACTGGCAAAATGTATATAGATGAGAACAACATTGAACAGTTAATTTTTAAATCACTGCCTCAGTGCAGTGGTAATATATGTTACAATCCCTGAGAATGAGCAAAAGGAAATTTGCATTTATTATCTTCTTTTTCAACATTTTTTATGGCATGTGCAGTACTAAGAAAAAAAAAAAATCTTTCTGCAATATTCTTCTCATCTCCTGGCTAGTTCAGCAGTGGGTAATATAAGCAGATATTTCAGAAGAAATCCATGCATGGATTTTTTTCATCACTCAAACTTCTGCTTAATACTTGAGGAAGATGGGATCAGTGGCATGGTGGGATCCCTCATCAAGGAATGAAGTGCGACACTCTCTAGCCAAGCATGAGCTCATAGTGCTGCCTTTCCCCATCTTTGTGGCCTGTTGTTAAGGTGTCTTTGGACTGTGGCACTACTTGCTGTATCGAGTGAAAAAAAAAACCCAGACATAAGTAAAAGTATAGCTGTCTGTATCCTGAAGTATCTTACATACACTGCAACTTCGTCACTTAATTCCAGATTGTAGAAGTTAACCATCTGCTTGAGCAGAAACTATAGTTTTGCTTTGTTTTTATCCTTTGAGTCTTGTAAAGTAATAAGCATGGGGAATAAGATGTTTCAGTTCTCTGCTGGTCGTTTCAATGGAACATAAAGGTCAGTAAGAAGGCTGGTACTTTGGGTCTCTGTGGGGTGAGTTAGAACAGGGAGAGGAAATTAGCTGCATATTAATTATAGCTTCCAGCTTATTTGTCCAGCTTTTTACAAGTGAAAGGGAAAAGGAAAAAGAACCAAAAAAACCCCACTTCATGCTTCAAAAGAAAAAGTATAATAGCAGTGAAACACAGATGAGTCAGTATTTATTTAATAATTACTGGAATTCAAAGAAAAGCATGATTCACAAATACAACCAGCCCACAGACAACGGAAGAATCCTAGTACTTCAGAATGTGGCAATCATGTCTACCTGTGTTCTACAAGAAAATATTTTTGAATGATCTTTTATTTGAAGCTACTGTAGCATTTGAGTGGGTAGAAGCTTTTTCTTTTCAGGATTCAGACGCTAGATACCTCAGGTCAAACTGAACCCCTATAGAAAAGTAATTGGAGTTACACTGGAGTGAAGAGTTTGGCACTGTATGTTTATTACAGGCTACCCAGCTTCTATTTATGGCAGAACTATGGGTCAAGGGGCTGATAGAGCAATAACATACTTAAATAAACTGTGTGATTGCAATTCAAATGCTCAGTAGCCAGTAATTGCACGTTCATGTTTTGCACAATATGAAATGTACAAGCCCAACATCTCTGACATAAAAACTAGCCTGTTTTGCTCCTAACATCCATAACTGATGCAATTTAAACACTTCTCTGAGAGCATATTTAAGAAAATGGGAAGCAGTGTACAAGTGTTACTCATGCAAGCCTGTTTCAAGAGAGTCTTTGAACACAGTTATTGATAGGTTTTTCTTACATAACATATGCAAAATGTAATTGAAATGAAATTAAATGTCAGCATGACACCATTAAACAGCCAACATTTGCCATCTTCTAAGACAACTATTCTGAGCAGTAACTTCATAATTAGGAATTTACTCACTCTCTTCCTTTATTTAATTTTTTTTAATATTTTAGACAAATAAAGGTGATGCCCTTGCAAACCGTGTCCAGAACACATTGGGAAATTATGATGAGATGAAAGACCTATTAACCAACCATTCCAACCAGAGCCACCTTGTAGGAATCCCAAAGAATTCTGTCCCACAGACACCCATTGACAAAAATGAACAGAACTTTTTCCCAGAACCAAGAAACAGGATGATCCCATCTCATCAGATCAGTGGCCACTCATCGACATCAATGCCTCCGCCTTCTTCATTGTCATCTAATTCTACTTTGCTACACAGTCACCAGAGTAGCAGGAAGTCGAGGACAGACTGGTCACGTAGTGGTCACAACTCTAATGGGGCCCAGCCAAGCCAATCCAGCAGTCAGCAGAGTCGGACAAAGCATAGCTCTTCTCATGACCAGCCGCAGGGCAGGTATGAAGACCTCTATAACTGTCAGAGTGAGCAGCATAAAAGTGGAGGAACTGAGGAAGCAAATTCTATGGCAGCATCTTCACATTCAAGGAGGCATACTCATTCAAAGTCAGCAGCTGGAGAACATACTTACAAAGAAAACAGTCATTCGAAGTCACCCACAGAGCTTGAGTTTGTAGGTCATGGTCCTGGATCTCCACTTCCTTCCACATCTTTGTTATCTGCGAACAATGGTCTTTCGACCCAGAATTTCCCACCAGGACTTCACTGTAAAAACAGCATGGTCCAGCAAAAGCCTACAGCATACGTCAGGCCTATGGACGGTCAGGACCAGGTACCCAATGACTCACCTGAACTGAAACCTCCACTAGAAATTGAGAGTGGATATGGAAACCAGTCCTTTGGAACGCTGCTGGAAGGAAAAGTGAACACACCTAGTTCGAAGAACAAAGTACCAAAGCTCAGCATTCCTCCTGTTACTGAAGTAAGTAGTTTAAAATATCTTCTCTCTCATACCCCTTGAGTATTTCATGCACTGAGTATTTTCCTCTGGAAATGTGCAGTTCCATTTCCTGGAATTATGGTCTAAAACATTCCTTTTTTCTAGAATGTGCATGACTACTTTTGGCAAAGTTGTTGTGATAGTCCCAGTAGCAATATTTAGTGAAGTTTTAAAAGCACAGTTTGGAATACTAACATTGGTTGTCTCCAATTAATATTAAAAGGTTAGATCTCTGTTGGATGTAATACATTTATACCAGCTAGAATTCTGGACAGAGAACTCTAATATCTCAATGCATCTGCAGTTTCCACTCTTCCTGCATTTTCAGTTAGGAGCTAGTTTGATAGAAAGATTGCTGTTTTAAACTCTAAGGAAAAATGGGAGCGTTCAAATTTCAGTGGCACTAAATAGTTCTACCAGTAAGGAGTTTATTTGCAGAGTTTGCTAAATTCCCGTTGCTTTTAATGGAATTAATGTCGCATAAGTTCTGAGTAATGCTTATGAAAATGTGTCCCATTAAAGCTTTTACGCATTTTGAAGAGCTCGTAATATTGGGATTCAGTCCCAATCTCTGCTACCAACAGTTTAAGCTGTTGAATTTTGTATTGCCGGTCAGTACAGTAGTCCTGTGAGGAACATTTTAGTTGGTACATATTCTTGTCCATTCCAAGCACAGATGTATAATAAGGATACCAACTGAACTATTTATACCATGTATACTTTTTCTCTTATTTTGAGTTTCTCTAAAGCAGTAACCTTTGCAAGGTAGGTTTATAGTGTACATATGAGCAGAATTGCAATATGGGTTTTTCATAGCTTTCTGCTTTCCCCAAAATATTTCCCTGCTTGGTAATATTTTATACTAGGAATGAGAAGCGATGCATTCTTAAGCCACTTTATTGGAAAAGGTCAGCTTTTTCTATTGGAATAATTGTTTCAAGCCAATAATTTGTTTGACTATTTAAAATCTTGATGTTATTTATTAACATTCCAGGCAGCAACAAAGACTGATGTGTTTTGCAGTAGAGCTTGGAATAATTTTCTGGGAACTGCATCTGAAAACAGTAAAAGGCCTATTTATATCAAGTGGAAGCTGAGGGTTGCTTGCAGATGGTGTTTTATTAGAAAATGTATTTGTTAATAAACGTAGCTTTGTACAAGATTACTTTACAGATGTTTCTGTTTATTTTTACCTTAGGTTAAAAATCTGCTGATGGTAGATGGCTTCATAGTCTGTTGCGATTTGTTGCTAGCATTGTTTGGCAAGTAAATAATTGCATGCAAAGGAAATAATGATGTTGCAAAAGCAAATACATTTTTTTCACTTTTGCCATCTATTAACACTGTGAGTCAATAGAGGCACTTTAAAGTGCAGCATTAATACAAAGTATTTTTGGAAATAGAATGTGCCTTTTGCCACCTGTGTCAACTATTAAGAATGCATTTGTTTTCTTTAATTTTTGAGTGAAATCCTGGCACTACTGAAATCAATTGAGTTGTTAGCAATGTTTTTTGGGTGCAGGATTTTACCCACAGTCTTTTTGTGTAGCTCTAAGAACCTCTAACGTGAACTGTTCTTTTTGGAAAGATTCCTAGTCACCCAGATGAAAAATTACATTGTGAATTTGTTGCTATAGCTGCTTTAGTTTATATCCTGTGTAGTGAAAAGTATAGGTGGATAATTAATTTCATTTATGATCAGATAAATGGTAAATTCTAGGCAATTTAGAAATGAATGCAGATAATAATCTTAAACCAGTCTGCATTATAAGACCGAACAATAATTTGAAGAGGGAAAGGAAACCCAAAGCTGTGTTAAGGTGATGAATAACTTTCCTTTCCAATACAGAGCATATGACAATAGCCAGACTGATGGATCTTTTACAGGCAAATCTCCTCCTGAGTTTGGAGGGTTGGATTTTTTTTTGCCTGTGTCAGGACTGTGAACTTTGACCCTCTGTGTTTTTCCACAGATGCGTATCCTGAATTTGATTTACCCTGCGTTCAGCAATAAAACTCCTTCCAATCCAACGTTATAGATAACTGGTTTAGTTTAAGCTTAATCAGAACTGACAGTGCACACCTGTGAAACCCATAACCTTTTCAGAATGACTGCAGCGAGTGGCTCTGTTGTAATCTTTATACAATTGATGTGGAGGCTTATGATCCTTCAGTGGTGCTTATCAATTTATGAACCTTCCCTAGCCACCTCGAGCCATAGTGATCTGCTTGAAACAATTTTGCTCCTGCTCCACGGGTTTCCATCCTAACACTGTTCTGGGTGGTGGTGGTGGTGGTGATCTTCTTCAAACTAGCAGTAGGAGAGTTACTTTTTGGGGGCGTTTCTCCATAATTTGCTCTGTGGCTTTCCTGTATCTTTGAGTCCATTTTTTCAAGTTGCTAGGTGCACACAGAGATGGCACACTAAACATTTTTCAGTGATTTCTCTCAAAATTTTGCATGCTCTTAAGATGAGGAATTCTTTGAGGAAATAAAATTCCTAGGTGATGGTCCTGCAATAATAGCATCTGTTAACACATGCAAAGTTGGAAAAGAAAAAGACAGTTTTTGCTATCTTAAGGAGGGGGAGGGGAATAAGTAACCAAATATTTGAACAAGCAGATTTAAAAGATGAGTTCAGACTGATGTGGAAATATGGTCTCATTTATCATGGCTTAATGGAATAGGATGTTGAGTGCCCTGGAAGCATTCTGCCATGTGTAAGGAAGTGGTCAATTTTATAACATAATTTGCGTCACTTGAGGTGTTGCTCTAAGAATCTTTGCTCGTTCGCTGGGCCCAGTTCTGCCCTCAGAGATGCCCGTCCATCTTTCAGCTCCTCTGGAGTGGACAACATTGTCGATGCCTTGCTGCTGGCGTGTCTCCACCGTGCAATGGATTGTGGTTTAGTGATTTCTGAGCGTGTAGAGATTCATGGCCAGTTCACACAGACTTACCAGACTGGATCAGCGTGCAGTGTTAGCAGCACTTACGTACCCATGGACTAGTCCTTGCCTCTTGAGTGGATGCTGTTGTGAGATTTCCAGACCTTGGCTCACCCACGCAGAGCTAGTTCAGACCTGTCTGCACCATGCGTGGCCATTTCTGGTAGAGAAACAGGAACAGCAGAGCCTCTGTAGACTTTTAGTTATGTCCTGCAAGGATTTCTTTATGATTTTGTGATCCTTTTGATTTCTTTTACCTTTTTCCTTTATTTTACTTACCAGCACTGTTTTCTAAGGGTGAAGGTAAAGAATTTTACCGTTTGGTGCCTTGAGCAAAACCCAGTGTAACCACTAGCACCCAGGTTTGCCAGCCTCTGAGATTCAGAAATTGTGAAGCAGACCTTTCAGAACTGGGAGGCCATAAGGCCGTCGTGTGACTTCAGGGGGACATGCGGAAATGCACCAGGTACCATGACACAGAATGGATAACAAAGGCCCTGGAGCTAAAACTGATAGAAAGATTGATAGAAAGCCTCAAGCTGTAAACATTATTTCCTGTTCCTCTCTTATTAACTCTTATAATCTCTTTAGTCTGTATTTACATACATACTTAAATACACACATGTATATTAATTCTGAGCTTGCATTTAGCATTTGGTAAATCGTGACAAGCCTGGGACATCACAAAGAGCTTGTATTGTGTAGAATTCCATCTACTGAAATTGTATGATGGCAGATGATTGTTACTTACCCCTCAAAGAGAACTGCATAGTTAAATCCTATGCATTTCTTCAAAAAAGTAGAGGTTAGAGACCACAATAACAGCTGATCCTCTTTCTGCTGCATTAAAATCCAGAATCTTGATACATGTATGTATATTTAAGCCTCTAGGAATCAGATGCTTACAAATTATTTCAAATTGACTAACTCAGCAGGAGACAGCTGAAAGAAAGCCTGTACTTTTCAGATTGGTCTCGAACACAAATTACTGAGAGTACCGAGTAAAGCAAAGGGTTTTAAGGTCTGTGGGAACATCAGAAGATGCGTTCCTGGAAAATCTTGTGCGCAGTTCTCCAGAACAATGCATAGATTTCCAATAAATGTTTAGGGACGGGAAATCAAGGGCAATTGAGATAATGTTTGGTTCTCAAGGCAGAGTTTTTAAATCTCACTGCAAGCTTGGCCTCACGTTCCTACAAAGTAGCAAATGCTTGTATACCAAATTTTCCCCAAAATACAAAGCTAGGAACAAATCCAAAAGGCCTACAACATCTATGTCACCACCCACTTAAGTAATAAAAAATGGAGAACTTCTATTTTCACTTTACTTCTAGGAAAATATTTTGACGGGTTCAGTATACTGCAAAGTGATAAGCTTCTGTTACGTGTTTCAAATCATTCTGTTATCGCAGCATGTATTGATTAGCTTAGTGCTTTCTGAGCTAGCTATAAAAAAGGCTGCTCTCTTTCTGCAGTAAAGAGCAAGAAAAATTGACAGGTAGATAACCATATTGATTGAACCTAAATAGTAAATGCAAGAGTCTTATATATGACTTATAAAACTCTTTATGGGAACCAAAGCTAGTTTAATATCTTTTTTTTTTTTTAATTAAATGGAAAGTAGATGTCTTTAATTAACCACCCCCACACCCTTTTGATATACATGCTACTCTAGTTGCCAACTATAGTACATTACCATAGTTGTGGGCAAATCACTTTTTTCAGATGCAAGCTTTAGCAGTCCCCCAGACTTTGAGCTCTGAAGAAGAATGGACTGAATCATGCATTAAGCTGAAATCCCTTTGCTTGGTTCATATTTCAAAAGTCTGAGGCCAAAAACAAACCCAAAGAGCAGTATTTCTTGCAGTATTACAGGTTACAGCCATATGTTTTTGATTTGTAAATACTGTGAGAAGTAATGTTCTTGTGATACTTCTAAATGAAGACCATATGACACCACTCGACTGAAGACCTCTTATTGTGGCCTTTCTAAGGCTACTGTCCGATTGCTTGGACAATTGCTAGTGAAGCTATTTT